CAAGTTCAGCCAGATTCTGCACAAGTTGTTACCCACCCTCTCGGTCATGCTGTTCGGAGCCGCTTTCGAAACAAGAAGCTTATGCTGAAAGGCAACCCTCAAAATTCTGTCTGGGCCTGGTTCTTGGTTGATGGGACATCATGCTGAGTGCCCATGAGATTTGCCATGAGGAATTGGTGTAAAGCAAGCCAGCACTACAGGCTTTCTGACAGTCCTAAGCATGAGCGAGCTCCATTTCGGCCAAGAAATTTACCTCTCCGCCGCGGCGTCGGGTCATAAACCCTCAACCCTTCCTGAAAAGCCATGAGAATCCCAATTACAGAGAATCCCAATTACAGCTATTCACCAACTTCCCAGCAGGATTTCTTATGGCTTCTTCTTTTTAAACAATCTTTTATACACAAAATCCTAGCAACAATCACGAACGACGCACAGTTCCCGGCCATAGAATGTTAACTATACTTTTGAAGAACCACGCTGAGAGTGTGATGTCTCCAGGTTGTGGTTGCGATACAAAGTCGTAGGATTCTTCGGGGCGGCCTCCCGAGCGGAATGTCTTGTGGGGCTCTGGGCGAAATTCGTTTAACTCAACCATTGTGGTTCACAAGGCTCTGCAGTTGCCAACGTCTCCCAGATAAGTTTAGTTACGAATGAGGCCCCCAAAAGGAACCCTGTGGATTTGCGGCATGCGTTTTTCGAAAAAAGGGGGGGGGGGGGGCGGAACAGGGCCTAGGTCGACCCTGGGTACTTGGGACATAAGAAGCCACCCACTGAGAAAATATCAGCAGGGCTTCTTTCGCTAACACAAATCCAAAAATCCAAAGAGAATCCGGCCAGAAGACTGTTTCTTGGGGGGTGGCTTTGGCTCACAGCCATGCCATTTTTGTGCTTTTCCAGAAAGGCAACATACATGTGCTTTGGTTGGACTGACATCCAAAAACAAAAAAGGTAACATGGTGTTTTCTTGGATTCGCTCTAAGTTTAAAACAAGAACACTGCTTGTTGGAGTTTGGTTCGGACGGTGGATTTTGAGAACACACACACACGTCTGTAGATTTACCACAAAAACAACTCTACGAACTTCAATTTTACTCGCATGCGGATGAAGATTCTTCGGTCAAATGGCATTGAGACCTTGACTCGGTTTCCCTAAGCTCCTGGACCGCACAAGGAACAAACCTGAAGTGCCCCCCAAGTTTCCGCCTGCTTTCAGCTTGATGAGCGGGCTTGACGCCTGTGGCTGGCCTGGCAGGAATAGGATGAGACTGGGGAGGTTCAGTGTGGAATTTTTACTGAAAGCCCTTCCCGAAGAAAGCAGCCAGCCCCGGAAGCTAGTGGAAGTAGACCAACGAGAAGTTCGATGAAAACCCATATGCCATCGCAATCCATGAGACGAAGGCATATCTGTTCTCGGGCACCCGGGCCCTACCCCCGCCCCCCCCATGTATCCCCCCCCACTTATCCCCGCCCCCTCTAACGCAATCTCCCCCCAATGAAACCCTGGTATCCGAGGCCCCAGCCCCCGCCCCCCCCAAACCCCAAGTCTCTCCCTAAACCTTAAAACAAACTTAAACCTCACACCCTTAACCTAAACCGTAAACCTTCAACCCCAAACGCCAACCCCGCCATTCACAGCACAGGGGGTGGGGGGGGGGCCAAACCTTAAACCCTAAACTTATGTAAACCCTAAACCTTAAACTTTAAACCTTAAACCCTAAACCCGAAAAACCTAACCCCCCAACCACACCCACACCACAGGGGGTCGCAGGGGTAGCACGGGTGGCCGGTCTCTTAAACCTTCAAATCCTAACCCCAACCCCCCATCACACCACGGGCCTACCTCAGACCCTAAACCCCGAACCCTAAACCCTAAACCCTAAACCCCAACCCCCAAACCACACCCACACCACAGGGGGGGGGCCAGGGTAGGCCTAATCCTTAAACCTTCAACCCTCAACCCTTAAACCCTAACCCCCTAACCACACAAGGGGGTGGGGGGTGGGGGTAGGGATCCAAGGGAGGATGGGGGGGGATACCATGAGGGTGGGGGGGGGGGGGGGGCGTGCAGCCTGGGACAAGGAACCTCGGGGGTGAAAGGAGGCGGGGCATCACGAGGACACGGTGTGGCGAGAATTCAGAAGTGACACCCTGAACCCTAAACCCTCAGCCCTAAACCTGCACTTCAAAGGGACGCATCTACGTGCGCGCGGGGTGGGGGGGGGACGAGGCGGGAGCGCGGTGTCGACCACGGCATTTCAGGGTTTAGGGGTTTGGATTTCTGTTTTTTGCTTTTTTGTAGGGATAGCAGGAGCGGGGTCCAGCTCCGCACTTCACAAGGATCGCGCGCGCTGGGCCGCGCAAACGAATGATCTCCCTAGAACAGATGCACGACGCGAAGACGCCCAAGGCACCCAAGACGCCCAAGAGGGAGAGGCACGAAAGCACGTCCCTGCCACATGTTCGTGATGCCGAGCAATCGAAGTGCGCAAAAGCGTACGGGTACCGAAGCGGAAGCGAGACATGGACCGTGGAACCGGAATTCTCGCTAGCACGATTTCAGACCCGAAACGAGCGCCGTGCTGAGGCGAGCCGAACCGCCGAATCGGCCACCAGCCTCATACCTCATGTTCCCACAGCGTTGGAGCCCCATCGTTGCACATCTCCACGGCTCAGGGTCTTTGCGGTAGTTTGGGGCTTTGGGTGTGGGAGGGTTTGAAGCTTGGGACAGTTTAGGAGCTGACCCTACACCCCACATCGCCTTTCGGCGACCAGTGGACAAAGAACGCGACCTGGGAGTTCTGCAGGATCTGACTTTCGGGGGGCAGTGGGGGCTTAGGTCTTTCTGTCTGTTGAGCCTTCTGCACCCCCTGACATCCCAGATAACTCCAGAGTCCTAGAGTGAAGGCCATGCCTTAAAAGCCCAGAGCCAAACTACCCTGGCTGGCCCCCTTCTTCTTGCAACCTCAGAGGGGTGGGCTTTTTTGGGGGGGGGGGGGGGGGGGGGGGGGCGGAATTTGGGGGCTGTAGGGGTTTGCTACCGGCACCTGAAGCCGAGCAGGCTGACATGTTGGGGCTCAAGGAGTCCCAAGCACCAAGGCCCCTGAGCCCGCTGTCCCACAGCAAACACGACTTGGGATGTGGGGGTTGGTCATCCAAAACAGACTATCACGAGGCAACCCCCACGCAGCTGATTTTGGTCGTCCCGCGGGGCGGACAGTAGTATGTGGAGTATCTGGTCTGTGGGCTTTGGCGCGCAGAGTCGCGCCCAAAGAATAAAAAGTCAGTGAACCTGTACGGGTGTGGTCATCCGTGATGAGATCACTCGTCGCTGGCTGTCCCAGTAGGGTGCGCTGCGGACTTTCCTAAACTCTTAGCCCCTATAGACTTAGAAACCCGTCAGCTTCTTAGGAAGTGCCAGATTCAGCCCCCCCCCCTGGATCAGCCGTCATCTCGTCAAGGCATGCCTTGGAGCTACGCGACGGTAAGGGAAGCTGCGATGTTTTGTTGGGTGGCTCAGCCTTCAGCCAACCCACTTCAACTGCTCGTGTTTGGTACACCTTCTCGTAATACTAGGGGCTCAGAGTTCACATCGGTTGTTGCTACACCCTCAACTCCTTAAAGCTCAACTTGGAGATATCGCACCTTCGGCTGTTGGACTCGGCCAGGCAGGAAGCGATCGCCACACCGCAAGAAGCGGACATTCGGGATTCTGGCTGGGGATCCTCGCCCAAATTAGGCAGTACTAAAGTATATGTAGGCTTGCACGGCACCTACGCAAAACGGATCAGGCAGACGCGGTTCTCGCCCAGTCTGGCAGCAGCAAAAAAAGAATATGCCAGAGGATTCGGATGGCCTTCCTGCACACCGGCATGACTCCCCCCACAAGCCGTCGCTGTCATTTGTCCTGAGTCCTGGGGCCTCCACTGTAATTAGGCATCGTTCGCGACAGAAAAACCCAAGAGCAAGCATCCCAGTAGCAAGCCCATGGAGCAAGGCTGCTACCACTACGTTAGGTTTGGGTGTAGGGCACGTGGCCATGTCAACACAGCTCTTCTTGTGGGGCAGCATTCCCGGAAACGAAACTCACGTGAATTGCGAAAAATGCGTCGAGAAGTTCTGAGGCCCTCGCTCGCAATTCCCTTGCATGGCTGCCCATTGAGTTCCCGGGCTCGGTGGAAACTGGAGGATGGAATACAACGGTCCGGCAATCGCAGAAAAGCCCAGGAGCTCCCAAAGCAAGGGAAGCACAAGGAGCTTTGCCCAGAAGAGCAAAGATGATTTCCGGCAGGTTAGAGAAATTCCGCACAGCTGGCTGAAACACACCAGCACAATGCATGGTAGGGCCCCAAGAGCTATAACTATAGACGAGGCTGGGGCTTGACAGTCGAAACCCGAACCCCCGAAACCATAAACTTCAAAAAACTATGGGGCCCAAGTGCCGGATTCCTCCCCTGCGGATGCCCAGACTACGTGGGCGTGGCCTGGGTTACGAGCAACCCCAACGGAGCAACTGGTGGTGTGCCCTGAAGAACATAGCGAGTGGAGGTATGTCAGGCTTTTGCATGTGTGGTGCAAGTGTTGAACTCTAGAAACCGGAAGAACCGGAAGCCTCGGTGCTCGCTCATGAGGGCAACTGCGCACCGATCGTCCCCAGGTCCGAGAAAAACCATCAGCAAGCCCCACGGCGTGAAGGTGCCGTTTGGAGGGAGCTAAGGGGACCTTTTAGGGGGGTTTTGTTACCCTGCAGCCAAAGTGTGCCAAATCCTTTTTTTGCACAGGCTTGCTATGCCAAATCCCTTAACCCTGAACCCTAAACCGCAGTTGTCGTGACCCTGCAGCCCACATTAACGCCACCAAAACTGTAGGTCACTGTAGGTTTTGAGGCTTCAGGGAGTCACAGGCCCCACATGGGCAGGGGGATCGCCCCCTCCCAAAGAGCTCTTTCACCGCCGAAGGGACTTGATGCATGAGATGGATTCTGGAGACTACGGAGCTGCTGCTCAGCACTGCACGTTGTCGTACTTGACTCGGACTTCCTCCCCGTTGCAGCTTTTCACACAATAGCATCCAGCATCGAGGTCTGCTTCGAGAACAAGTGCCATCGTCCTGTCTTCGCGGGTGAGCTGGCATTTTCTGGGGTCTGCTACTGAACAAAGGCATGACGAAGAGGTCACAAGCTGACCCTAGAAAAAAAAACAGTCGGACGAACCTCACCCAACTGAACGGTTTGACAAGGCAAAGCTACCCGTTGAGCTTGTCGAGCTTGTCGCCGCTTGGGAGCCCCAGGATTTTGACGTAGGTTCCACCCACCAAGGTGCAGTTGCGAGGCGAGATGGAAATCATCCTGGAGCCCCTGCGCAGGATGGCGACATAGTTGCCCGACTCCGGCTGGAAGCCGACGATGTCGGCCAAGCACCCATTCAGCTGCGGCTGTGCTGCCAGGCCACGAATCGTGATCGCGCAGTGCTGGGTCAACTTCTCTGGCTTCACACTGATCACTGCGCCATCGGCCCTCATCTTCACATCATACCGGCCTGTCTCGGCATCATAGCACAAGACCTGTGCCTTCTTCCCATTGTGCTGCACTGCCTCGGTCAGGCCATGAACCGTGACCATCTTCCCAGGGGGAAGGGCAAATGGGTTCGATGGGTCTGCTGAGGCCTTCCGCTGGCGCTTGCGTTCGCTACCGCCTTTGTTAACAGCATTGAAGATCTGTTGTAGGTCCAGGGTTTTCCCAAGACCTCCCAAGATCTTGTCGCTGCAACCCGACTGGCAGGATGGGAAGCCACCGAAGAGGAAGTCAATCTCCTCCACACTGAACCGTTCACCCTTGGTGCTGCGTGGCATGCCGCACTTGCCAAAGCTGTCGTAGAGCTTCCTCTTCTGGGGATCCTGCAAGGGGGAGGGGGGAGGGGAGGGGGGGGGGCGGGGGAGGGGGGGGGGAGGGGGGGAGGGGGAGGGGGGGGGGGGGGGGGGGGAGGGGGGGGGGGAGGGGGGGGGGGAGGGGGGGGGGAGGGGGGGTGGGGGCCGCGCAGCATTCCTGTCCAGACAACTGTCTACACCTGCACCGGTTATAGTTATAGCCGAAGCTTAAACAAAGACTTGTTGAACACATGCATGCTCCCCGGCAAGGCGCACACGATCTTACAGTTACACCCGTGGAGCACTCAAGCAACCACATAAGTACCAACTCATTGCCATGTGCAAGAACGACTGACCGCAACAGCATTGAGCCTGATTGAGCATGCAAGGCCCCAGTCCTGCAAGGTGCAGTAGGCCTCTGAGATCTGCTTGAACTTGACCTCAGCGTTGCCCTTGTCCTCCTGTCCACCCAGCGTCTGTACCCAGAACAGGGAAGCCCTAACTCGAGGAACCCTCAAAAGACACTTTTCAAAAAAAGACCACACCAAATCCGAAAACGAGCCTGCAAACCGACCCCTGACAAGCCTTCGAAAGGCTGACGCCATGGATTTGGGTGTGGAGTCTTTTTAATTTTGTCTGCGTGGATACGTGCGTGTGTTCAGTCCCGTGGACATCGCTGTTCCCCCGACCGTGTGCTCCCGCAGAGACGTGCACATCACTATTCCGCTCAGTCCCCATGTCTCCTTTGGATATCCTTTGGATATGTTTCCTCTGTCCGTTCTAGAAGGAGTTGGAAGGCCGCGGTGTTCGAAACTTTTGCCACCACAGTAGGGTCGAGCAGGTCTTCCTCACCTTGGGGCCGATGCCGCCAGACTTTCAAGCATATACATTCTCAAAGGTCTGTGTGCTCAAAGGGTTACCTAGGCACGTTTAGGCAGGGTCCCTAAGTCATTTCGGGATCCTGAAGTCTCAAAGCTTACATCCTACAGATTCTGGTCGTGCTGCGTGATCTGCAACAAGAGGCTTTAAGGTGCTTGGGTCTGTCAGGGGTTCCTCCCTCCTCCCGCTCACCCGAGCCCTTTCGAAGCTGGACTGGCCTTGGTGACGAGGAGAAGACTGGACTCGTGCCATGCCAGGGCACAAAAGAATACTGCAACGCGAACCCCATGACCCTTTTCGGCACTGGCCAACCCTCACCCTAAGCCCCAAACCCTAAACCCTAAACACTATGCCCTAAACCCTAAACCCTAAACCGTAAACCCTAACCCCTAAACCCTAAACCCTAAACCCAGTCCTGGGACTTGTCGGGATGATACTGTAGGGCGAGCTTGCGAAATGCCTTTGTCACCTCGCCGTTGCTCGCATCCCTGGGGAGGCCCAGCACCTCTGCAAGGAGTTTTAGTATTCTTTGTTTAGGGTGTAGGGTTTAGGGTTTCGGGTTTTGGGTGTAGGATTTAAGGTTTAGGGCGTCTGTTCTGGTACTTAAGGGGGGAGTGAGGGACAGGGGGTACTTATGGGGAAATATTAAGGATCATCTGAGGGGCCCACCCTTGCAGCTTAGGACCCGGAACCCTAAACCCTAAACCTCACATCCTAAACCCTAAACCCTCCCAAACCCTTAAGTGCCTGGTAGTAGTCGTCCGAGTCGACATTTTGTGTCCTTGTCATCTCCCCAACCGTACACCGGCCAAAACACCGGCTACGTCCCTCAGAGCCAAAGCCACAGTGGATTTGGGGGGCGTCTTGGGTTTTGGCTTTTTTGTGCTTTAAGGTCTAGGGCTTAGGGGCTCGAAGGTTTGGGTCACTGGGCTTATGGAGGTGGGAGTTACGACTCCGATGAGGGTCAGGCCAAAACCCCGAAAACGCTGGCTTCCTTCGAGCCCGGGTTCCCCTCCGCACGGTCTCTGGGGCTCTAGACGCTTTTGGGTTTCAGGTGCCTCGTGACACCTCCCTCTCCAGGCCCCCCCGCCACGCTTCGTCTTTTTTGATGCCGGTGCTTCGCACGTTCGACGTTTCTGGGGAAGGATGTTCAACTGCAACAGCGAAGAGCCTTCGTTCTTTCGCCGGCGGGTGGGGACTTCCTGAACATGCCTGGATCTGGGAGAGCTGCGCCTAAACCCTGAATCGCAACACAAGGCTTTACATGAGCGTTTCGGAGGGCTTTGGGCCTCAGCTCGGGGTTTAAGGCTAGGGCTTCTGCTAGCACTCTTTGCAACACCAGGCTTCATGCTACGACGTTACGGTTAGGGCTTGGGGTGAGAGCACGCTCTTCGCAACGCACTGGAAGCAAGCAATTCGGTGGGCTCTGCCATGCTGCTCGGCACTAGAATTCTAGGATGGCCAGAATACCCGCTGCAACCCTTTAAGAACCCAAACTTAAACTCCCCCAACCCAAACTCTTGCCCTTGTCAACCCTAGACCCTGAACCCTAAACCACGACGGGGCTTGACCGCTCCCTGCACCCTCAGCCCTTTTTGGCCTCAACACCCTCAAGCATCCCGGTAAACGCCCCAGGAACCAAAGATGAGAGCTCTGGATCCCGGTGCGGCACCCAAATATCACCCCAACCCTAAAGCCACTTTTCGGGTGTTCAGGGGGCTGAAAGTTCAAGGCCTAGATTTCGCTGGTCGCTTTGCTTTAGGGTGGTTTTACGTACCAAGATAGGGAACTGTAGCAAGAATTATTTTTCGTTTCTCTTTGAAGGTACATGCAAGACGAACAGCAGCTGCTGGCCGTCCTCAATCAAAGCCTCAGTCAAAGCCTCAAGCCTCAACGCTAAGCCCAAACACTGTCGCGAATGTCTTAAACTGACAACAGGATCTCAACTAAAACCTGGATGCCTTAGTCTATAGAAGGAGCTAGGATTCATGACTTTCTCGCATTCTGGAGCCCACACACATGTCCTGCCGACCCCTTGCTCGTTCGTGTGCTGAGACTGCCCACGCCAGGACTCGGGGATTACAGAACTCAGGACATCTAGGGGCCGTCTTAGGGACAGGGACCTTAAAAACCGAAGTGCAGGACAAGCTTGAAACCATGGGAGAGGCGTATGGCACCACGTGGTCGCTTCTGCAACGAATTCCGGGGCGCTTTGCGACCCCTGCTCCGGGCTTGTTCTTGTTCTTGAACACCCATATGCTCTAGCTATAACTTCTGAAGGCAGAGCGCGAACGCATCCCGAAAGTGCTTAGAGCCACAGTTGTTGGGTTCTTCGAAACATCCATCGTGGGAGAATGCAGACTTCGGGTAGCTGATGCTATTGAACTCTGGAGGGCGGATGCAACCTCGCGCTCCTGCACCCAGGAGGTCCCGAACCCACGCAAGCGCTTTAAGTTCCAAAACTCCTTGTCACCCGACCCCCGGCAACGGCAACGTTCTAACCTCTCCTTCTTCCCCAAGCCCGCAGCCCCTATAACCCAATTTTTGCAACAGGCGTGTGATACCTCACCCAGATGTGCACATCGCCGAACTCCGACTTCAAGCCCTGAACCCCACACCCCGTGCGTGACGGGCGGAGCGACTCCAAGGCCCTCAACCAACCTCAAACCGCTTTCATCCACCCTGAACGCTCTTGCAGCAGGCTGGTTGGGTTCAGGCCCAAAACCCTAAACCCCTTCTTTGTTGAGCCCAGTCTCGGACAAAACCCTGAACGCCACACCCCAAACCCCACGTCCTGAACCCTGCACCCTAAACCCTCGAATTCATTGTGGCAAAGGTTCTGCCGGATCTCCTTGCTCGCACGGCTCGCTGCACCCCGGCTCCGATACTTCACTCGGGGGAGGAGTCTTCCGAGCTCTTACTGGAAATGCGGGAATAGGTGTGCTTCGGGAGGATCCAAAAAGTAGATCCCTTTAAAGGCTTCTAAGAATGACCCCATAGGGTACTATTTTGGGGGGCTCTACTTTTTGGATCCTCCCAGGGGTCTGGGCCATAGAAAGGATCAAAAAGGGCACCGAACTCCCTACTTCTCACCCCTAGAACCTGCGTGAAGTCGCTCAGACAGTCATACTGCCCAGCCTTAACCCTACGCGCCCGAGATGGCGGAATTTTCGGAAGCCCCAGTGAGCCCGTGGAGTGCTGTTGGAGGCTGGAGGCTTAACGATTTGGTTTCGGGGTGTTCAAGGTTTAGGGGTTTATAGGGGCCCAAGAAACAACATAAACATAAGGATGCTACAAACAGGGTTTTTCGGTATCCCCGTCATAGCGGCCCGTATACCCCAAATAGTTGGATCCTTATGTTCCCCACCCTCGGTGTGGGGCTGTTAGATGTTAAACTCAACTCTTCTCCTGCCCAACCCCAAGTGTCCCTGGAGTGCCACCCCGAAGTATCTCTACCAGAGAAAGTGGGGATGTTCGAAGTAAAATGGTTTTTTGGGCCTCTATTTTTCGGGCTCAGGGTTTAGCACGGGGTTTAGGGTGTTCTTCAGGGTTTGCTGAGAGCACAGGGCCGAGGCGCCAGGACGTCAATCTACGAAACGAAACTGGACGCATGGATGCTTGGCATCTGCATCGCTCCGGCATTATCGGTACTACGCAGCCGGGTCCCTGGCACAAACACCGGAACCCTGCTAAGCCCCGCTAAAACTGTGCGAAGCTCAAGAAGTCCTGCGCGGCCCCGCGGAATGATGCTAGTCTTGCTTCGGGCCTCTAATGGTCATGTGCCCCAAAGCCCAGCACTGCCAGGGATGGCCTGCAATCCACTGGCAGCTCTAACACCCAAGTGGGCAAGGACCCAGGTCACTCTTGGACCAAGAGCGAGGGGGGTGGGAAGTGCTCGCAGCCGCTGCCTATGAGGCCCATGCTGACCCACAGGGTTTGTGTTTTGGGGCTGGGGGTTGTGGAGCGCGGTTCTTCGGGCTTCTGGTTCTCCGGGGTGTACGTAGGTTCGAAGCTAGAGGACAGGGTTTCATCTAGCGGTGAACGAAAGCTTCAAGACATGACAATGGGCTTTCCTTCCTATGTGCTGTGGAGGGCTTTGGGGTTGAAGATGCAGGTGCTCAAACCCTCAATCCCAAAATCCAAGGCTAGGGTTTAAGCTTAGGGTTTAGAGTCTAGAGCTTAGGGTGGTGCAGGGCTTCATAATGACATGTGCCGCTGCGACCGCCATCGCCCAGCCGTAGCCTGCGCAGCTTCACTAAGCCTTTGATCCCTAAACCATCCTGACACATCCTAAACCCTATCCCAAGCCCCGACCCCGCCACTCGCACGACTGCCAACTGGGGGTCGGCTCTTACACTGAGTTGAAACTCGGGGAGGTTTTCGGCACCAAGGTTACAATATGCAAAAACAGCTTTTGAAGCATCTCTTGGGAGTCGCTTTGCTTCCATGAGAGGAAAAGGCGGCGAAGGCAGCAAACTCCGGATCGGCGAGGATTGAGAGGCTAAAGAACGACTCTGGTGGAGGCTTTGCTAGGCTGCACGTAAGTTCAGGAAGCGACTGTGTGGGGTAGCTTATGCGCGATCTGTCCGACATCAACTGGACTTTCGGAAGTTCAGGACCCCCAAAACCAGCGAAGAGGCTGTGATGGTCACCATGTCCTCTTCCCCGAAGTCGCTGTCATCCTGCAGGGCAGAGCAACACGACACAGTTGCTGGACGCACTCACA